ACGGCAGGCATCGATTTGTTGCAGATCTGATGGAACGATCAGTCCTTGTGTTAAGCTTTGTGACCAAAGCGCAATGGGCTGCTGAGGTATCACTATTTAATTTTTTTTATAGTAGAGTTTAATTGTTCATGATGTCATTTTGACATGATAAAGCATTTGAGAGTGATAGAGCGAAGCAGTGATGTGTTCATCCAGAGTCTATTGCGGATGTTATAGGCTCTATTGTACAGTCTAGCTACTGGCCCCAAGATATCATTTGTTGTGAGTGACCAAACAGGTAAAACAGTATGACAAGGTGGACAAAATTATGGCATGAAGATAAGTTTCTGAAACAGTTTTCCCCACAAACAAATAGTTTTTGCTTCAGCTTTTTACAGACATTTTGAACATGGTCACAATAAGTAAGGTGAGAGTCCAGACTGATTCCCAAATATCGATAAGTAGATACAATGGAAAGTTTTTGATTTAAGAAAGTGATGGGATTGGATATGAATAATTTTTGGCTAACATTACAAGCCTTGGTGTAGATCCATAGACGCGTGTTACTTTTCAACTCTCCAGAACACTTGTATGATTAACCCTTTGAGAGCCTGCTCTACCAAACGGTTTACCATCTTTTTACTGTTTTAAATAATGACAGTAAAAGTCATTGAAAGAATGACTGTTTTAAATAATGGTTTACGCACACACAGCATTGTTGGTTTAAAAAAAAAAAAAAAAAAACATAATTCTGTTGCACTACTACACTTGATTTTGGTTTCATAGTAAAAAAAAAAAAAAAACAAGCATGTTAAATGAGAATCTGAAATATTTTATGGCATTTAGTGTTTAAAAATGTTTTCTTTAGATTTCTTTAGATGTTTTATTTAGATTTTTTTACACTTCATATTTTTCATATGTAAAAAGTCTGGCACTTTTACCATAAATCGACATATCAACCATTTGGTATAGAGGCTGATATTTTAGAAATTGTGGGATGCGTTTAAAAATGCATTGAGTGTGTTAACTAGTAACATAAGGAGTTGAAAAATTCAATCCAAACATTTTTTTTTCGTGGTGGGGAAAAGTTAAAGGGTTAAAATGGATGCATTTGTGGTTTAAAGAAAAGCTGCGGAAACCAGATGGCTTTTAACCAGTTTAATTGACCCTGATTACATTTTAATTACAATTCTGAAAAAAAAAGAACACAAAAAAATGAATAAAGGAGGAAGTAAATGTTACATCGTGGTATTAAAACCTGTTATTATGAATTATGAAACCACAGAAATAAAATCCAAGAAAGTGGGAGAGATAGAGACTTTTACACAATAAAACAATACACAATATATCTTTTAAAATCATACAATCCCCCGATGAAAATATTTTTACAAGAGCAAGAAATCAGTAACTACAAAATAACAATTACATGACATGAGAACAAATCATAAGCCTGATCCTCCACTGAATGCCCTTCCTCCCTCCTATATCTCTCCACAACAACCCCCCATATTAATAGTTACAGTTTTTTTTAAAACGTTAATTTACAGAATTTTAAATGTTACACTAAACACACTGTCGGGTTGCTCGTGGGAGGGCAGGGCTGGGGGGGAAACATTCTCAAAAGGATCTCTTACAGTATTGTATACAATGTTATCATGACTACAAATGTCGACGAAATAATAATAATAACTAATAATAATAATTAGGATGAACAGCAACATTGACATCAGAGAGCAGATAAACAGGAGCAGTTCGGGTAACGAAACAAAACATCATTCGACATCCTGGGTAACCGACGAGAGCAGCCTAAGGGAAAACCAACATCTTCCCTCCTAAATAGAAGTAATGCACTCACGTTGTGCCCAAACAAAAGTTAACAGCCTGCACTGGTCAATACTGCTCACCCCATTTCAAAATTCAGCCCGGCCTCCTACATTATGAGGGTTGCCAGGCTTAAAACAAGTGCACACTAGTTAAAGACTTGTCTCGTTGATAAAGAAAGAAAGAGAAATAAAATCCTAAACAATCAAATCCGGGTTGCAGTGGGAATAAGGCAGCTAGAAATAGTTTGAGGAGGTCACACCATTGCAAGTCCAATTTTGCAGCACATCAGACATGATATACCTTCCTGTCACTGGAAAACCATTATATCACGACTCGTGCCCGACTGGCCGTCTCTTGGATGTCTCGAGTCCTGTGTTGAACTTCCACAGGGCTTTAGTGCACAGGTTTATGAGGTTCATGATGCAAGGTTTCAAAAGAATTACAGCCTTGGGTGTGGTGTGACATACATGCACAGAGACCTACAGCCTCTGTCAAACACAAACACACACACACACACACACACACACACACACACACACACACACACACACAGATCAGTTGTGGCAGTAGGAACAGGATGTTGAGGAGGTGCATGCTGGTTAAAGATCTGAATGTGCCACATCATCTGTGGTGCAAAGCTTTCGTGCTTAGTCTTTCGCTCCTCTAGCCTACCTTTTATTAATGTGACAAGAAAAGCAACATGTTCCTCCCTTTCCCGACATTATCCCTGAGGAGAGAATACCTTCCCCTCAAAATGAAATCGCTTCACCCCCCGCCCCGAAACTGATATATTTGTTAATGCTATGCTTTCTGTTTGTAGTAAGTTTAACACGTTATATATAAAGGTATATTGAGTGTATACTGTTCTCTCTTTTTTATTTATTTAGACATGCTTTTAAAACAAGGCATAAAAGGCTGTGTATGTGTGTGTGTTCATGGGAGTATGATAGAGCAGGTATGTCCAAACTCGGTCCTGAAGGGTCGGTGTCCTGCATATTTTAGTTCCAACCCCAATTAAACACACTTAAACCAGCTAATCAAACTCTTTCTAGGTATACTAGTCACTTACAGGGAGGTGTGTTGAAGGCTAAACTATGCAAGACACCGGCCCTCCAGGACCGAGTTTGGACACCCCTGTGACAGTGACTCCATTTCTGCTTTCTTTCCATAAGTTAGTATTTAATTGTTTGGGATCAGGATTAAGCTCTTCCACCTCCCCATCCTATCAACATTAAGATCTCACATGGGTCTGTAACTTGTAATACTGATTAAAGCAGTGTTTCTCAATCTCATCCACCTTCCTGGAGGACCACCTGCTCTGCACATTTTCCATGTCTTCTGAATCAAACACACCTGAGCCAGATCATCAGCTCATTAGCAGAGACTGAAAGATCTGTAATGGGTGTGACAGACAAAGGAGACATCCAAAACATGCAGTGCTGGTGGTCCTCCAGGAATGTGGTTGAGAAACACTTCAATAAAGGACAGAATTGACACTTGGTTTTAAAGGGGGTACATCATCAAGTGCCAATATAGTTAGACACGGAGTTCTGGTCCATGTAATATCACTGTACACGCTTGTGTGTGTGTGTGTGTGTGGAAGGAAGGATGCTGGTTTAGTTTACGCTAAAGGACTAAACCAAGGATGTCCAAGCTCCGTCCTGGAGGACCGGTGTCCTGCATAGTTTAGTTCCAACTTCCTTCAACACAAGCTGCCTGGAAGTTTCTAGTAGAACACAGGTGTCAAATCCAGTTCCTGGAGGGCCGCAGCTCTGCACAGTGGTAAAGTCTAGATTGGATTCGCAGCCAACCGGAAGTGCGACATGTACATCAGTTATAGTAGCATTTTTTTGACGCTGTATAACAATAATGGATATTTTTACAGTACTGTGACGATTGGGTTTGGGGTAGGCGTTAAAAAATACAATTTATTGGGTAATTTAATAGATAGCATAAATAATACTCGATACAACAACTGTTTCTACGTTACTGTGACGGTTGGGTTTAGGGTTGGGGTGGGGGTAGGCATTAATAATATACAATAAATTGAAAATTTAATAAATAATATAAATTATTTTCATTAACTTCCGGCTGCAGCCATATCTAGCAACAACCCTGCACAGTTAAGTTCCATTCCTGCTTCAACACACTTACCTGTAGGTTTCAAACCATAGATATATACACTAGATATCGCATAGGGACCCTGAGCATGCGTCAATAGCGCCGCCACATTGGTACAGTGCTCCCAGGACAAATGTCATTCAACCGCACTAGTCAAGACAGTGTTATTACGTGAAGATGCGGGACTTTAGCGATGTCTACGGGTGTAGTAACGACCAAACAAAGAAAACAAAGCACAAAGGCAGAACATTTCATAGGTAATGTTAAGTTTTTTTCTGTTTTTGTATGTTCTGAACTTTTGTGCTAATCAGGTAACGTTATTGAGGATAACAGTCACTTACTGCATTCACCATACGCCAAAGCAGCTCCAACTCGCACTAAACACTCGGCTTATGCTAGTTTTGTTGAATAAAATCAGCAAACATTGCAAAAGAAATATGACAATGAGATGCTGCGCTGCCAGAAACTTGTATTATTGTCGGCTAACGTTAGTGAAAGAGTCGTTCGGTGGATTCATTCACAAACTAATCGCTCCTTCCGTCAGTATGAGAAATGAAAGCAGGAGAGGAGCTGTGTTTCAGGACATGATTAGATCAAATTTAACAGGGAGGGTGAATAGTACATTTCTGTACACACAAACACAAGCTTTTTGTCAGGAATGCCCGTGCGGTCACTGATCCATCAATGTAGAAAAGTGATGTAAAATTATAATTTTCGTAATTAGAAAAAAAAAAAACATACTAACATCCAGGAAAACTCCCGATCATAGATATATGTGTATATCTCTGGCTTTGGATGGCCACAGTCCTCCACTGTACCTTGGTCCCGCATTCATTTCAAAGGAGCGCTACCCTGTAGCAAGATGGCGGCGCTATTGACGCATTCCGTCCAATAGACAACAATAGGCCAGGCGACATCTAATGTATATATCTATGGTTTCAAACAAGCCTGAAGGACTTAATTAGTTTGATCAGGTGCGTTTAATTAGCGTTGAAACTAAACTGTGCAGAGCTGCGGCTCTCCAGGAACTGGATTTGACACCTGTGACCTAGAAAGAGCTTGATTAGCTGGATCAGGTGTGTCTAATTGGAGTTGGAACTAAACTTTGCAGGACACCGGCGCTCCAGAATCGAGTTTGGACACCCCTGAACTAAACAACTGTAAACTCTCTAAAGAGTATCACCTTCAGACTGTCAAATCAAACCCTAATTACCAAAGAACCAATCGTTTAAGAGAGTTAAGAATATGGTCTCTGAACCGCATGTTCGAGTCATTCCTCCCCAACGGAAACAAAGTGGTTCAGGTATGGTCCCAGAGGGAAATAAAAGACAATGAAAAAGAGAGCAAGTTTTAAGCTGAGCTGGTTTGGATAGAAAAGGAAAGGAGGGAAATATCCTGAGAAAACACACAGCTAGATTTCAGAAACACACCTTCACACTCGAATCAGACACGCGCTTCATACTGGGAACAAGACGTCATGTCTGAGTGTGTGTGCGTGTTGAGGGGTTTTGTCCCTGAGGGTTCGGACTTCTGACCAGGCTGGTTTTAGAACAGTGTCTGTTTGTGACTTTCTGTGCATTCGTATCCCACCACATCACATAGAGTCCGTCACTGAGGAGAATAATGCTGGAGACGGAGATCAAATCCCTCAAAAAAAAAAGACCAGTCATTCCGATGCCCATCTCTAGTTTCTCCTTGTGGGGTTTTGAGGGATAGCTCACAGGCACTTTGCAAAATAATATTCTCTTCTAAAAAATATAAAATATTCTCTAGTGCCAAAGGTCAAAGTTCATGACTCCTGAGGGTCGCTGGGGCACATGGGTGAACTCATTCCTCATGAACGTTACACTGAGATGGACTGGAACGTGTGCTTGCGGGGGAGCGGGATTCGATTAAGCAAGGGTCAGTTAGTCTAGGTGTGCAGCGTACGTGTCAGTATTACTGTTGTCAGTATCAGCAGTCATTGATCTAGAGAGAGTCACGTGTGAGTGTGGGTCCATCAGCAGTTGTAGAGTTGTGTATCAGCAGTAGTCTACATGTGTGGATGCGTATCAGCAGTCCTTGTTCTCCAGTGACAGCTGTGCTGTGGCTCGATGGAGCTCGGCACTTACTCTGTGATGAGCAAGAGGAGGTGGGCTCTCCGCCTCTCCACTTTCCTCCACAGTCCCGTTCCTCACTCTCCCCCTCTCTTCTCCTTTCACTTTCTTGTCCTCCGCCTCTTCCATGTGCTGGTCCTGGTCCCAGCGCCTTTTGAACCGAAGCTTCAGTGGAATACACTGGGATTGTGTTTGTGGCAGCCCGCCGGATGGCAGCTGCGTGTCCCCAGGCTCCACAGGTTCGCTCTTTATAACAGGGGTTCCTCTTCGACCATTGCCTGAAGAGGTGGGAGAGATGAAGAAGGGTGGAGGGGCAGGAGCCTTGAACACCTCCTCTTCCTCCTCCAAGTCCTCATCGTGGTGGAGAGCAGCATTAGTGCCGTTGGACTGCTGGTGCTTTTGGCTATGAAGATAATGGTGTTGATGATGGTGATGACGATGGTGATGTTTATGGTAGTGTGGGGGGTAAACGTCAAACTCTTCATCCCTTTCGTCAGCTTCTTCATCACTAATGTCAGTCACTTCAACTTCCTCTTCAGACTCGATGTCAGAGATGGGTTCAACCTATATATTGAGACAGAGAAAGGGAATGTAGGGTCAAAATGGAGGTGGGTGTTGCCATGACTTTCACTGGCCGCTTTTCCACTCAGTATGCTGGAATAAGTGTTTTAAAAGACACAACAGAGCCATATCCAGAGAAGATATACATTAAAAAGAAAGAACAGCTAACCTTATTTCAATAATCCTGCAAGTTATTAGGAAAACACCTGGGGCCTCATGTATCAACGCTGCGTACGCACAAAAACTTTGCGTACGCCAGGTTTCAAGCTCAGTATCGCTCACGTTTAAATTTACTAACGATGAACTGAACGTGGGAATGTGCGCAGCTTCACGGCCGCTTTATGGCTGGCGTACGCACATTTTTTGTGCGTGTCTGTTTTATTTCCATTGGTGACTCCTAGAGGTAGTTGTGTTAAATTCCTCTCTACAAAGTGTCTGAGCCTTGCAATGGCAGCTGTATGAGACGGGTTCATCTAGCAGGTATATAAGGTTTCCATACCATACAGTTGACCAGCTAAACATTAAAGCGCAATTTGCAGCGGTCGCCTGTTTTCCCAATGTAATCTGAGCTATCTACTTTACACACATTGCTATAAAGACACTATCTGAAGATGAATTTGCATGCGTGAATCAGAAACATTTCCATTCAATAAATGTGCAAATAAAATATGATGCACAAACTTATTAATGATTCCTACTTGTCTTTCTCGTGATAAATAGTTGGCAAAATCTAATATGTAGCGGGGAAAAAAGAAGAAAGAGTTCATCAGACGCTGGATTCGAACCGAGTTCATGCTCGAACGTGTCAAAACATGTTGACATGCGTCTGATGAGCTGAGCCACTGAGACTTTTAAGGGTACTGCAACATTTTACACCTATAAACCACACTATATCTTTTTTAATTCACTCACTGCGATGTTCAGACCCAACTGCGTTAACTGTTTCAGCGAAACTCTCCCACTCTATTTTTTTCTTTTGTTGTTAATTCCGGAGAACAAACTTGCAAATAACATCGCTTTTCTCCGGTTTACCTCCGAAAGCAGCACCTCCATTTCACATTCTGTTCAAAGTTTCTCTTTTTGCTTGCTTTTGCCATTGCTTTTTCGTTGGGTTTTGCCAAAGTAGAGTCATTAGCATATTCATACGGGGGAGGAGGCAGGAAGGGGTTTTGTGCTCGTGCATGTTGCGCTCAGTTTCACGTTCATTCGGATGTACAAAAGAATATGCGTGAGATTTTTTCTGCGTACGCACATTTACAGCTTTGTGCGTACGCAATGTTTTAGTATGATTTCCACGCAAGTCTTCGTACATGAGGCCCCTGATAATTTCAGTTTTTCTAAAACTGCAGAAACTGATTAAATTACGCAACACAAACAAAAAAATCACAAGAAAATAATTTCTGATTACCTTAATCTTGGGCAACCCAGCGCTGTTCAGGGAGCCAGTTGAGGAGGAGTTGGACACCAGTCCTGATCCGCTGGCTGAACTGAGGTCACTGCCAAATGACAACGACGAGCCCAGACCAGATGTGGATGTGGAGGACAGCGAGCCCTGGCGACCCTGACCGTCACGCTGTTTTCTGCCCAGCGGAGGAGGCTGGAGCTTGAACTTAAACGGTGAGTGGTGCTGTTCCTCGCTGAGGTGGTGGTGAATAGGGTGTGCGTGAGGCGGTGGTAAGGTGGAGTGATGGCTGTTAAGCACAGAGGGCCTCTCGACAGGACCACGGTCGCAGGCCTGGGGTCCGGGCATGCCTTTATCAGGGCGCTGAGGCTGAGGAACGATGATGTTTGGGTAATGAAAGAAGGCACGAGGACTCAGGTGGTAGTTGTAGACGCTCTGAGTGTGAGCTTGCAAGTAGCGCTGCATGTCCTCAGGGTTGAAGGAGAAGATGGAGCCAGGCATGGGGGACAGGGTAGGAGAAGGTGTGTAGGCCAGGTGAGAGCCTGGCGTCATGGAGAGTGCTGGTGATAGAGGTGGTGCCAACAGGCCTGGTCCTCCTGGACCGGGCAGAGGTGAAACTGTGAACGGTGAGAGAGGCTCAGGGTGTACCCTGTGTCCACCAACATCTGACACTCGATGACCTGTGTGACCAGGACCACCGTACATCCTGAACATAGCCTCGTGAGACAGACGAGGGTGAACGGCACCTCGGAATCCGCCTCCTCCTCTCTCAGCCACTCTTTCCGTCACTCTCTCCTCTGACGCACCTCCGTTTCCGTCCTCAATCTCAGAGTTGACAGAAGTCCCATCACTACAGTCGGAGACAGATCCACGGGCGATACGGCGGCCATTGAACATCCCAGGACTGCGCAACTCTTCACTGCTGGGGGAACGCAGCACCTCGGGCACCTGCATCTCTGACGGAGTGGATGGAGGAAACCGGAAATGTGGACCTGTAGGCACTGGTGGAGCACTCTGAGGGACAGCCGCTCCTGCAGAGAGACAAACACACGAAGAAGAGCAGGTATTAGCTGAGCTTTGTTTTACGATCTACATAAATGTATGTGATATATGGGTGCTCTATTTGTACCTGTAGAGCCCATGTCAATGAAAGGGTAGTTGACAAGGACCAGCTTGTTGAAGTTGAACTTGTAGGTGAAGCGTTTTCCTTTAGTTTTATGTAGAATTCTCTTGTTGTAATAATACCTGCGCACACAAAAAACAGAACACATCAGCCCACACCAAAAATGAAATCTTACCGAAAAATAAAGGTTGTGATGTAAAATAAATGAGAAACATTTAAGATTCTGTAAACATCCCACTTCGGTGTCCACATCAAATTATTTTCCACAAGTTATTTCATACACACAAAGCAAAATAAATGGAACGTAAAAATGTCTACTTGAATGTTTTAAATAATTTGTTTGAAAATAAAATGTCTAGGTATGGGTGAAATAATGTTTCATCAGCATTCAGTATAACAGATATAGCCATTCATTTATCTTAGTCCATTTATTAATCAGGGGTCGTCACAGCGGAATGAACCGTCAACTTATCCAGCACATGTTTTACACAGCAGATGCCCTTCCAGCTGCAACCCAGTACTGGAAATATAACAAATGTATTTATGTAAAAATGAAACTTTTTCTAATCTGCACGCATTAAAACATTTTTAATTGTAATATTATACCCAAGGTCCACAAATTGGGATCACATACAAATGGAAGAAAACAAAATAAATCAACAAAAAAACAAAACAACGAGGAGCAGATGATCAGGTGCGCGCATATAAAGGTAACTGGGTTGACAGGTTAGAGCAGAGGTGTCAAACTCAATTCCTGGAGGGCCGAAGCCCAGTTTAGTTCCAACCCTGCTCCAACACACTTACCTGTAGGTTTCAAACAAGCCTGAAGGACTCAATTAGTTTGATCAGGTGTGTTTAATTAGGGTTGGAACTAAACTGTGCAGAGCTGCGGCCCTTTTGGAACTGAGTTTGACACCTGTGGGTTAGAGAGTATATTTAAAAAAATTGTGTGTATATATATATATATATATATATATATATATATATATATACACATAAAATGCATAATAGTAAAAAAAAAATATTATAGGTCACACATACCAATAAATGCTGCAAAAAACAAATGGAAAGAGTGACAATGATAGTAATGTATTAATAGATATAATGACAATGAAAAGGCCAACAGTAATAATAACAATGACAACAACAATATTAATAATGATAACTATAGCAAGTACTACATTAACTGCTACTACAGCAATTACTAAAGCCTGGTTTATACTTGATGCGTCCGCTTGTACGATTGGGTGTGCGCGGCAAATGTGACGTCATCACGCAGTTTGCGGATGTTCGCTTGGGGTGCGCTTGCCATGATTTCGGCTGGCAGTGCGAAGGGCATTTTTTGAAACTCGAGCGAACAGTGCGTGCGGCGCCACAACTGATTTAAGTTGATTTTGAAACACTCTGAAGAGATTTTGTCTGAAACAGTAGGACAGGACACACATCTTTATGACCAGTGATCAGAGAGATAACCAGATGATCAATAATTCTTGGGTGGAAATTGCAACATCTGTGAGAAAGGAGAAAGTTTTTGTTAAAAGGTTTGGAAAAACCTGAGGGATAAGTTTATTAAAACCAAAAGAGGCCATAGGAAAAGTGGAAAACAGGTACACAATCACAGAATATGTTTTTGCACCAGTCATAGGTTTGATGTATTTTGTTTAATTTTGAATTTAAAACAATTTAATAGTTACAAAACTAAAATGAAGTCACAGAATTATTTTTGATAACTGGAAAGGAATATTTAAACCTATCGGTTTACAATATACTGATGCCCTGTTTTTCTAGGCTTTATTGGTGTAATCACGTTGGATCATTATAGCCTTTTTAGCATAAGTAGAGGACAGAAACTAGCCAGACAGTAATGTGTGAATTGTGGAGAGGGCTAAAAACATCTGTATTTTTTAGTAAGTGTGCTTTTTTTGCTTTTATTTTAGCAATAATAAAACATATATTTGTAGAGCAACACATGTTCTGTTGTCATTAATTACAAATAAAGAAAATGTTTTTCCACCAGTCATAGCTTTAACACTGATTTATATATTTGTGGAGCGGGCTAAATCTAAAAAAAAATCTTTTTCAAAAAAAAAACGTTTTCGCAGCATTTTTATTTGCTTTCATTCTTGCCATAATAAAAATATATTTGTAGAGCAACTCATGTTCTCTTGTCATTAATATTTTAATAAACTTTAAAAGGTAAAGCTGTCCGAGATATGAACAAAAGCAAGTGATGCATCAAAGTTTGATTTAAAAAAATCTTGAATGGTTAGAAAAATGCTTTTAATTGTTAAAATAATATATAAAAACCCTATAAAATAATTAGTTTAAAAAATTGATCGATATTATGATATAAAGTAGTTCCAGAAACTTCCTACTTCTCTTTTTATCCGTCTGATTTTACGATGGGTTTCTTTTGACCACCCTGTTGTTTTAAAAAAAATCACAAGGGCGAACGCGGCAAGTATAAAAGCCTTGTCCGTTTTGCGAGGTGAGCGAGACGCAACCAGGCGAAAGTATAATTCCAGCTTAATGCTACAACAACAGCTGCTACTACTACTACCACCACCACAACTACTAATAATGCAACTTCAGCAACCACAACTTATTAAAACACTTATTAAAACAAATAAAATGTGATAATATAAAATTCAATTCTTTTAAATAATCTAGTGGTTTAAAGGATAGTGGCTGGTAACATATCATTTTAAAATGGGTCTGCATTGTGGTCCTTAAATAGTTTTTTGATATCATAAAATGATGCCAGTCTTGACACTTTATTTTGGTATATTAACATTAGGCACATTCAAACCAAGACTGAAAACACATCTGTTTAGCTGTGCCTTTACTGAATGAGCACTGTGCTGTGTCCGAAAGATTGCACTATTATTTATATTTTTACTAATTTTTATTATTTGATGTTATTTTTATTTTACTTGTTTCTTTTATTCTTGTTTATGTAAAGCACTTTAAATTGCCACTGTGTATGAAATGTGCTATATAAATAAACTTGCCTTGCCTTGCCTTAGAAAAACTATTGTAACACAAAAGAATTATTTTTTAATAAATCTTAGATAAAATATAAGTGCCTTTTTTTGGCTCAGAAAAAAATTAAATGGGGAACCGTGTTTATGTATGTATGTATGTATTTATATAAAACATGTTTATATAGAATAATCTTGAGTGCAGTATACATACGACATTTCAAATTAATCTGCTTAATCCCAGTACATCAGGCAGAAAAGAAGGAAAGAAACATTGCGACGTGTGCTTATTTATAGAGCTTGTTTATCCTTATGCATACATTTGAGTGATGGGGGTATTGTTAGGACAGCTCTGGTCACTCTAGTTCCAGTTTATGTAACACTATAACCCACTGATAAACTCTTCTTCCTTAATCCCATTATATAATCCCATTCTCTCTCTCTCCTCCTATCTATATATTAACCTTTGTCCTCCCCTAGCTCTTTACATAACATCTCTCCGTTCCTCACAACCCTCCATCCATTTATATAACTTCAATAACATCGCATCTTTCTTGCAGACCTGCACATGTATGTGTGTAAATCCCTGTGACAGCGATTCATCTTGAACCTAATAACCTTTGAGCCACAATCTGTGAACGGCATGTTTCAAGGAAGACGCTGACATTGAGCTTTTTGAATGCACAGAGGATATATTTACTTGCATTGTACTTGTCTGTGTTCAGGTAGTCTCGCCTATAGAGATTAAGCTGAGACAGACAGAACTGTGGTCAGATGAAGACATGTGAGGAGTGTTTCAATTATTTCATGTGTTTTTTTTTCCTCACTCAAGTTTAGACAAGCAGATTTTTATTGTCCCATCATCACCCAACCAAAAGTGTGTCCTCTTTTCATACGCTAATTTTTACAACTATAAGCAAAGACAGTAGGGCTACACAATATTGACTAAAATGGCATTGCAATATTTAATTTTTGGAAGTGGTGTTAAAGAGGCCAGCAGGGGACGCACAACCTGTGGTCTGTGTAAGTCCTAATGCCCCAGTATAGTGAAGCGGACACTGTATACTTTCTGAGAGCGCCGTCTTTCGGATGAGATGACAAACTGAGGTCCTGACTCTCTGTGGTCATTAAAAATCACATGGCACTTCTCGTAAAAAAGTAGGGGTGTAACTCCGATGTCCTGGCCAAATTCCCTCCATTGGCCCTTACCCATCATGACCTCTCAATCATCCCCATCCACCGACTTGGCTCTATCACTGTCTTTTCTCTTCACCATTAGCTGGTGTGTGGTCCTGTGCCTGCAGTCACATTATCCAAGTGGATGCTGCAAACTGGTGAAGGTGTGGAGAGACCCCCTCCCCTCCTCATGATTGTAAAGTGCTTTGGGTGTCTGGTCATACACAATAAATGCCAAAAGAAATACACATTACTTAGGGAGCTTTCACACTTGGTTCAATTGCCTGGCCCATACCCAAGTTCGATTGTTGCCCTTGGCCACCTTCTCGGCTGGTTTGTGTTCACACTGTCTTTTTCCTCACTTGCGTCATCGAGCTGCTGTTGTCTGTACGGTTGTTGCTAGGTAACTTTTTCTGGCGGATTCAGGTACAGTTTGGGGTGCGCACCCGGGTTCAGAAGACACATTCACACTAGCTGAACGTACCATACTTTGACGTCAAACGAACCCTGGTGTGGACCAAAAGTGCTAGTGTAAAAGCACCCTAATTTACTTTTTCAGCAATATACAGTTGAGGGCAAAAATATTAACCTTGTGGAATATATATTTTTTTCCCTATGAAGTCTCAAGTGATATTTAATAGATCAAGGACATTTTCAAAATATTTCTGAACATATTTTGTCTTCTTTGTCTTATTTGTTTTATTTTGCCCAGAAAAAAATCTATTATTTATTTAAAAAACCATTTAAGGTCAATATTGGCAAGGAATATAGTTTTTAATAGTCTACAGAACAAACCACAGTTATATAATGACTTGCCTAGTTACCCTAACCTGCCTAGTTAACCTAATAAAGCCTTAAAATTGCACTTTAAGCTAAATACTAGTATCCTGAAGACTATCTAGTTTAATAGTATGTACTGTCATCATGGCAAAGATCTTCTAATACTATTAAAATACTATTAAATT